AGTTGTACACTCTTCCCATGGTTGCCCCCTGTGGTTGTAATGCAATCATTAGCCAAATATACTATCAATAAAATCCTAGGTCGCAAGTACTCACCTTAATATTTAAAAAAAAAAAAAAAACAAAAACCAAAGTAGATAATGATAATTTCAGACAATGGTGCATATTATCATAATTCGAAGTTAATAGCTATTATTGCTCATTGGCATGCTTGGTATTTCATTAAGGTTAATTGATGGCTGTTTTTGAAGCCAGGAGAAGATAAAACAACCATTAATTCTCATCATGCAAATGTGAGATCAATCTTTTTTTTTTTTTTAATGGGTTTATTTTTTTAAATACTAATCATGTATTAACATCATAATTAGGATTGTTAATGTCATAATCAAACATATAACCCACTTCAAAGCACTTCAGAAGTGGGTTATATGTTTGATTATTGACTGAAGTATGCTATTAACAACCTTAATTATGATGCTTTAATATCACATAAGATTGGCCATAGTATTAAGTGATATATTTAAATTAGATTTGATGTAGCTGAAGGTAAAGATATAGTAAAGGCAGCACAAGGGCTAGCTGAAACATCATTGGCACAAATTACAATAGATCATAATAATAAAAATAGTGAATCTAAGGTTGAAAACATGAGGTTAAGAAAAAAAAAAAAAGTTAAGAATTCAAGTAACAAAAAACCAAAAATTAAAACAATATCTGAAATATTCAAATTTTACTGTTGGAAATGGCTAATAGAAGGACCTCTGGCTGGATTTATTTGTGCTAGGGAATTACTACATGTGGGCTTGTAGGAAAATTTCTCTTTAGCTGAAATCATCAAATTATTTAATGCACCCATTATTCATCCAAAACTGATAGTTTCAGCATATATAACACTAACATCTGATTGGATCATGCAAATTCCCATAATTCAAGGTATGTAAACATATAAACAGACTTTTAAAAAATAGTAGAACTTGATTACTATAGAAATTTTAACCCCTGCTGATGATAAAGTAACAGAGATAGAAAGTAAGTTTATTGTAATTTTACAAACCAATTACAAGATGCTATTGAATAGCATTACTTATAAAGCAGGAGTTACCAATTTTAATAATGAAGGCAATTCTTAAGGAGGCTCTGAGACGAATATCGAAGGTAGGAATCAGTTCTTCCAATGTTACTATTAAAAAGCTACTGAGTGATTTTGGTAAAACAGACATTACTGATCTTAGTAATGAGAATAATCATCAAGGAAGTCCTACTATAAATGTTGATGATAATAATTAGCTATTCTAACAAAAACTTGAATTTTTTATTGAGAGCAAAAAAAAATTTACTTGTTAGCGTATGACTTTTCAGAAAATAGAGTTGGAAAAGATAAACAGAAGGCATCTATTCATTTTCGAAAGTCTGCTGAGATGGAAAATGCCAATGGAATTAGTATTAAAATAGATAAACAAAAGGTATTCATTTATTCTTAAAAATCTGCTAAAATGGAAAATGCTAATAAAATTGGAATTGAAAAGAATAAACAAGATGCATTTGTTCATTATCAGAAATCAGCAATGATGGGTAATTTTAGAGATAGGTTGTAGAACCTTTGCTCAATTTATCAAGATTATTTCATATTTAACTAACATGACTCTTGTCTAGAAACATTGAGGATGAATTTAAAATGCCTCTAGGATGGGCATTTTTAGGAAATTCAAAAAAAAAGATATAGGAAAAAAGATCAAAACAAAAGTTGTTAATTTGCTAAAGCATTTTTTTTTAAATGAGAATATGAATTCTAAAGACAAGATGACAGCTCAAGAGATGCATATAGAACTTAAAGAGTTTACACAATCTGGAGAAATTGATAATAATAACATCTCTCAAGTATCTACAATTCATAACTGAATTGGTAGATATTCTAGAGAATTTTATCATGAAGGGACATTAAATGCACTTGAGATATTCAATGCTGATGGCTTTTTCTCAAATAGTGAACTTTGAATGTATTTACATTTGCATTTTATTATTTAAATATCAAATGTCACATCTAAGTCTTATTTTCTGTTGAAACAGATCAAGTAGGTTGAGAATAATAAATATAAAGCTTTCATTTATTATCAAAAAACTACTAAAATGGAAGATTCTATTAAAATGTTTCAAGTTGGTTATTGTTAACTAAATGGAATGAGTTTAAAATATAAACAAAAATGGCATTCGTTCATTACTACTAGTATACTAGAATGGTGCATGTAAATAAAATATGAATTTATAAATAAATAGGTTAAACATTCCAATTAATGAATTTGGATCAGAAAATAAAATGAAATCATTTCAAGATCTAATTTTAATGTAGTTATTTTTTAAATCATTCATTTGCATGAATTTAATGAAATATATTTAAAAACTGATTTAACATGGCAATTTCACAAAAGCATTATTTTAATCTATCTTACTAATTTTATTTCCTATTCTATTAAAATAAAAAAAAAAGTCAGTTTGTTTATGGGTGCATAAAATGTTACAAAGTATTTGACCCAATGGGCTATACTTAGCAATGTAAACTCAACACAATCGCTAACAACTATGTTCTAAGATTTGTAATATTCAAAATCAATGTCTGAAGGTTATTTTAAAATTATAATAATACATGAAATAAGTTTTTATTTAATTCTATAATGTACAATATTATAAAATACAACTAAGATGTTTCCACACAAAATTACATTGACTATTTCAAACTACACTCAAAAATTAAAAAAAAAGAAAAAAAAAACTTCACATATTTCACAAATGTTAGTTAATCCTTTCAACCTCTTTGAAAGGATGAATTTCACAAAACTTAATAAATTTATTTTTCAAATATATGCTATAGAATACTAGTCTATATTTCCAAGATATATTTATAGATTGCCTGATCAGTTGAAGTGTTTAAAGTATAAAATATAGTTAACAGAAGACCACATATGTGATTAACAAAAAAATGAAGTGATATTTGTATATAACTTAGCTCGATCAAAAATCTTTTAGTTCTAGCATGTGTTGTGGAACAGAAATTTTTAATACTGATACCAAAAGATATACTAATTTCCTAAAACTACTATATAATTCTGAAAATTATTAGATATTAACATTCAAAAAGAGGTTACTTATATTCGAAATTAGTTGTAATAAGTATTCTATTCAAGACTATAAATTTTTGTTTATATATGAGACCACCAAAAAAAAATCAGATATTGATCTTTTTTATAAATAACCGGACTCAATTCCAGACAACCTGATCAGTGACTTATAAAACAGAATTACTATACTGCACAGCATACAATTAACCCTAGGTACTTTTCAAAAAAGCCAGCCTAGATTAAATCATACCCCCCAAATATTGGAAGATAGAAGGATAATCCAAATAATCATTACTAATCAATACTTAGTGCTATACAGCAAAGGGACACATACAACTAATCTTTCATTTATTTCAATAATATATTCTCTAGTCATTAATATGCAATCGATAGAACTCTCAATGTTAATACCATAATATATCATATAAATAATGTTCATTAATTATGTTAATCATATGCAGCTAATTAGATTTCCGAGATTGAGTCCAATAAGTAGAGTTAAAAATCAAAGTCTAGTGTCCTCTGACAGCATTCATATATAATACTCGACAGAACATGAGATATAATCTTAGCAAGTATTTCTTTGAGATGCTGACAAATCTATTTTCTATTACTCTTACTAATATAGATCTGTAAAATTTTAACATAAAGAAATCACTTTCAACATAACAAAAAAAAAATAATTCTACTTTTTTTTTTTATGATACTGAATAATTTCAGTGAGCTCATATACTTGGTTGAAAATAAATAAAAAAAATTGAGTTTTTTTGAAAATTAGTGATCGAAATTATTTTTTTTTTTTTTTTTTTTTTTTTTTAAGGTCATACTTGTAGTGATACTTTATTGACTTTTATTGGGTTAGCTATTACAACTATTTTTACAGAGATGAGAGTACAGCTAGTCACACATG